GCTTACAGTCTGTAGAGGTTTCAGTTTATAATCGGTTGGTTCCAAGGCAGAGTAATACACAGCAGAGGAAAACAGTTCATGGACGTGGAAGACAGAAAAACTAACAAGAGAAAGGAAGGGTGAGACAAGTCTTTCTTTTCCTTTCTGTATCCGGACTACTGGGATTAGGGCAGCAGCAATCCAATCAAGTGGACAGATCCAGAACTCGCCCATCCTTAATGCCAGCACCCTTAGCACTCATTGCCTACAAATGAATCACACACTCTAAACTCAGCCACTCAAAACAAACAAACAAACAAAGACTACATGAGACTTTGGGGGAACATCTAGACACAGACCACAACAATGTCCAAAATTCCTTGCTTAAATCTTAATCCACATAATTTTGCAAACTTTATACATAGGAAAAATGCTGTATGCCGGCTCCACCCCCTGGGCTGCATTGAGCTGGCATTTGAGACTGGGCATGGTGGCATGCTCCTATAATCCCAGCTTTTGGGAGGCTGAACACAGGCGGATCACTATGAGTCCAATCTGTGTAGTAAGACCCTGTAGACCCTGTAGGCCCTTACTAAAATACAACAAAAAGCTATAATTTCCTTCGGATTCAACACATCTCTGGGTTAAAAAAAAATCTAAATTATCAATCTCTTGACTTAAATAATAGATAATTATCCTTCCCAACATAAATTTATAGATTCATAACCCAATTCAAAGCATAATTGTAGGATTATAATTACCATGACAGTTTGGCAAAAAATATGCCAGGTGACAATGAAGAGATGTTGGAAATCACTTTAGGATAATAGATCATTTCATTGGGTTTATTAGTATTGTCAGTGTTTTAGAATAAAACCCAATGCGGGCATAACAGTACACTTTCAGATAGATGATATTCCAATAATTTAATGGTCAATTGAGTTCTGTACTATATAATAAAGTTTATGTAGCATGTAAGTGACCATAAGAGGACTGCTCAGCTGTCCTCAAGTTGAGGGCCACCTGCACAACTGGGGAGGCTGGTATGGTTTCTAACATTTTACAAGTGAATTCTGGATTTATGTGAAGCCAGATGGTGTCATATGAAGTACTGTTGAATACTTTTCTTTTTTAAAAAAATATGTGTTTGGTACCGGGTCTCACTGTGCAGCTCAGACTTGTAGTGATCCTCCTGTTTCAGCTTCCTCAGCACTGGGGTTACAGGTGTGCACTACCACGTCCGGTCTTGAATATTTTTCTTAAACATACTATAGAATACACTTTTATTCGCTAGTGGTAATCTGTGAGTATGTTTAATTGCCTTACTGAAATAGAACTCTGCGCTTGAAAATGCTGATGCTCGACACGCCTCCCTGGCTGCTGCTCAGTGAGAATTTGTTGCACAAATGAAGAGAGGCTGTGAGCACCACAGGGGTTAGATAACACCTGCCCTGATGTTTCCCCGAAGCATCCTGGCAGGCCCAATCTCTACGGCACAAAAGTAGAGTACCCTGGATGTGTAGGTGACTGGGGATGCTGCAAACACTGTCTGTTGTTTCAGAGGCTTTCTTCCACTTCGTATTACCATACGCTTGGTTCTGGGCTATGTGGGGCAGGTCTAGGTTTTCCAGCGGACCTTGAGGGTCTGCACTCTGATGATGCGTTGTGTGGCCACAAGGAGGCGCTGTGCTTCAGCGAAAGCGCTGAGTCTGAGCCGTGAAAAGGGGAAGTGAGTGTGTGTGGGGGGGGTGGGGGGGTACGGTGGTGTGTGTGTGTGGGGGGGGGTCCTGAGGAAGCTCAGCTCTGCTATCAGTTGGGACCTTGACTGTGGACAGAGATGCTGACTAATATGACGTTCAAGCCGATCCCCCTTTGGTCTGCACCACAGCACCCTGTGCTCAGCATATCTAAGTGTGACAAAGATGTGGTTTCAACGTGTAAAATTGTATTATAGTAAAAGATACTTCAATCCCCTTCAAAATACTCCCCCTTGCTCCGAACACAGGTACCGGTTCTTGCTCCTTTCTAAAGCAGGTCTGAATGTCCTCTTTCCTGAATGTTTTCAGTTGCTCTGTCCCAGATGCTTCAGTATTCTGAATTGATTCAAAACCTTCGCCTTTCCTGGATGCTGTTACGTTAGGAAACAGCTGGGACTGGCACAGTCACGGATTCGGCGAGCGAGGGCACAATGCATTGTTTTTACTTGAAGGAAACTGCAGTAAATATTTTGAATGAATTCCGGACATACTCAACCGTGAAAAGACACACAAGAGGATTTGTGGAGCTGCTTCAGACAGTGGCAAGAACGTTAGGAATAATACATTCAAAGGAAAGGAGTATTTGGGGGGGGCAGGGATTAAAGACATAGCTTCTTTTAATAACAATAGATTTTTAAATTTCAAAGTTCAGGGATAGAGAGATAGTTCAGTAGAATAAGCACTTGCCTGGCAAGTGCATAGG